TGTTCTTATATGAGATAAGTAGCAACTAGAATCTTGCGATCTCATTGGTTGAGAATAATGTATCAAAAAATAAACGTATTAACATATTATCACGAAGAAAAAATGTAAATCTCTACTTTTACTTTATCACTTTAACTTTTAAACATCCCAAGGTCTGCAGGCGCATTAAGATCTCGATAGGGGCGACATGAGTGCGCACACGCAGGCTGTCAGCGTCGCAAGCGCATCAGATAACGCGACATGCGCGTTCCGGGAACCGCTGTCGCTTCGAATATTTGTCACGTGACACTGTATTCATTCATTTGCATGGAGTTGCTGGGCATAGCACTTCAAAGAACATTACATTGTCGTCGAAATTGGCTACTTTCTAGGTTCTTATTAACGCCCAAGTCTAGTATTCGTTAAGATGCTAAGGCATATAGAAAGTATCTAATTTACAGTGAACTGGAAACATTAATTACGTTTTCCTATAAACTTATCTTACATAGTTGCTATGTTTTCTGTTATCTGTTTCCCTGATTGCTCTTTAGTGCACGACAAATTACTACGTTTACAAAATTTTCCTTTAATAAATTAAGGTTTCTCGAACACTTGTATCTTTGTCACAATGCGCCGTGTTTTGTTTTGTAATACCGTAAAACGCACTACATTTTCCCGTTAAAAGTTCAACGTGGAGTATCGGATAACAAACTCTTGTACAGTATTTTACAAGGCGAAGTTAAGTTGAACTCGCATAGAACATTGGTTGGACGACAGACGAACTTAACCGCTCTCTAAGGTGCGCCTGTAACATGTACTCTCCTGTCTTTTGATAAATTATTACCTTACGGACCTTGGCTTTGTCTCAGTTCCATAGTCGATATTAAAGGTGTGGCTAGAGTTACTATCACATTGTCACTTTAATCATCTGTGGAACTATTATAAAACTCTCAAGAATACAAAATTGATGATTTGTGTTGTCACTATCGCATGTGACGAGTCCATAAAAACTTATAATTGCTGAGTAATACTGTTGATCTTATGCAATGACACGACACGGTGTTTCTTATTGCTTAATAATTCACTGTGGATTGATTGGATCACGTCAACTGTTAAATCTTTTATTATTATATCTGGCATCGCCGAAATTAAAATATCCTTCACAGTTTCTGTGTTTTGGTATTGCGGAGCACTTTTCCAATTTATTATCCTTCTCAACATTGTAACCACAGTCTATCTCGAGCTCCTGTAATTAGATCGGCGATACGTCCCATTATAATTTATCGTACCCACCATAATGAAGATTTAGCTTCCACAAAACGCCAGTAAATAATCTCCCGAACGAAGTAAACGCTGGTTTACAAAGTAAAACGATATCGCTACCAGCTTTTACAACGTCATCGTCTTATTGTGATATCTACATAGTGTAATTAACAGCTCATGCTCTTATCTTTTTTTAATAGCTTCTACATGATGAAGCTGTGCTACAGATTTCATCTCTCTATAAGGAAGATTGACTTCGGTTTTTGTTAAGCGTATTTTGTTACTTCTTTCATCTTATTTTTCATTTCCGAAAAGGTGCAGTTTCATTGAGTGATGAACACTTTCACTAACAATATATTGCGTTGGATTTACATAAACCTTTTCAAGGTGTACCATTCAACCTTAATATCGATGCGTGGGTTTGAACAGTCGATCCATTCGTGAGGATATCATGCGCACATATAAAGTCCATGGCGATGTGGCTGATATTCAGTGCAATACCCCAACCCTAGAGGTCATTGCGTAGCGTAGGCGTGAAACAGGCTTCCGCCCACATCTTCGTTTCATGCCTTCAAGTTTTGCTGGGAAAAGATACCGCATGAAATCCTACATGAATTTGCCGGAGTTGAGATTCACGAAAGTGTTTCTTTTGTTTTTGTGCATTTGTAAATTTATAAATTGTTTCCGACTTATTATACTCTTTAAAGAAAGAACGCAAGCGAATATGAATTTTGAATACACGAGTTACAAATAATGAATGGAGCCATTTCCTTTATTATTGTTATACGGGCTACTTTTATGTTTCGTATCATAAAAATAAAATTTAGGACCTAATTGTTGTCATAACAAAACGTTTATTTTTCCAGTATCCCAATATTGAACATTTTATTTATTGGAATTCCGATTATAAAATGAAAACATCGTAAGCATATTTATTATTGAGTTTGGAACTCAATTTTTATTCATGCTGGGATTTGTTTTACCGTTTAAGAGCTGACGTATTTCAACAAAAAAAATTGTGACCAATCGTCATATTTGTATAAGATTTTTTATAGCTTTACTTTTTTAATTGTTTATCAGTATAATAAAGCAATATTCGACTGTCAGGGGTCATCTTATAATTGTGTGTGTTACAGTAAGTGTGATAATAAATGTGATTAACTTCATTACAGTCTGAGTATTAGCATAAACCGTGGGTGGTTTTGAATCCGGAACAGAGCAAAGGCGTGATTAGTTGATTTTGGTTATAAGGGTATTTATCATGTTATTATTGACATTTCTGTTTCGAAATTGTTGGTTTTCTTTGACGTTCTGGCTTAATTTTGAATATATTTCGTGTTTCTCATCTGTGCTTTCATTATTAGTGTTTATTAGTGTTAGTGTACTATCGTCATCATTTTAAATTTGTGTATTGTCTTCGATATTTATCGATGTAGTCTTAAGTTGGAAATCACGCTTGCCAACGTGTTTATCATGTGTATTTACCAACAAGTTGTATCCCTGGTGGTAAGCTACACGCCTACCACTACCACTCAGAGCTTTAAATAAAAAAGATTTGAGACGCGCTACCACTGAACCCGTCACCCTGATGCTCAAGGTTCCGTTAACCTTACCCTTCAAAACCGAAACGCACTAACGCTTATATCACTGCTTGGCGGCAGAAATAGGTACGGTAGCAATAGTTCTCTGCACGAACTCTCACAAGTATGTATTAAAAACTAGGGTCTCTGTTCTTCCTTTATGTGATGCATTGTGTCAAAATTCTTCTTGAAAATTGTATCTTACATCATTTATACAGTATGTAAATTTGCTGTTTAATTTAATGAAAATTTGGTTACCTTAATCTGCGGCTGTGTTCGAAGAACGTTTACTCTCGAGAAATTTCGATTATTTTTATATGCCTCGTCGCCAATAGGAATTTTTATTAGACTAAATGATACTTTTATTAAAAATTAATAAATATTCCTTGGATCTGATAGTGATTACGTCTATTTAGTAGCCTAATTAAGTCGCGGTTTTGATTTTTATTCATGGTGTCTAAGTACCATAGGTTCTTGAACGTGAACATGAACGTTAGTGAGTTTTTTTATCACTCGTTTGGTATACAAAGCTTTTTTATTCATGCGTTCATTCATTTGAATATTTTGAAATTGCCTTTTCATTACGTATAACTGTATAATAGAAAATCGAGATTCTTATTGTATACCAAAAAAATAAATCAAAACCTTTTGAAAATTTCAATAGTCTATCAACAATGGCAACTATGAGCCTTTTTATATTACTTATAACTTTGTAGTTTTGATATTTCGATTTATTTAAATTCGACGGTGCGGAGAGGCTTGCGCGGGCGCACGTCACGTGGTCGTGTCGACGTATCTGCGTTATTTATTGCCGCCGTCCGGCGCAAGCGCGATGCTGCCCCCGCGCGATTGGATGAAACGTAGCTTGTGTTATGCACCTATACAACTGGCTGCAAAGCCGCTGTTTGCTTAATTTCAGGATGTTGGATAAGAGTTTGTAATTTATCTACAATTTATTTTCTTCGCCAAATTATAATACCCAATAATTCAACTTTCGTTTGACTACAAATTTGATAGTTAACTGTACACCTTATATACAGTCACATACGTTTTACTTTTATATGAAAGTTTATATTTCCGAAGGAACACTACAACTATCTTCTACCTATAGGTTGTCTATTATGTTTTGTACACACGGTGTATTGTCTGATAATTTATACGCGCAGTCTCTTGAGGCTATTGTGTATGGTCAGACCGCCTAGGAGGCACAACACGATAAATGTACGCCGCTGCCAAGTACATACGATAAATACAGTCTGCAGTACATTTGGCGACAAAAGTTACTCAATTGTACCTCTGATATCTTTTTATATCAAAACCAGAACAATATGGAAATGGAACAAACACACTGCTAGCTGTTTCCTGAAAAGTACATTCAAGATCAGAGTTAATCATTTAGACAAATGCGTATCCGTCGACGTTCACGTCGTGGCTTAACACGAAGTGAAATTATGACTAAGCGAGCGTTTTTACATTAAAAAACAATTAAAAAAACACGTTCACTTTCACATACACACATCTCTCATCACTACACGCGCTTACATACATTGAGATCATTCCCGTACATTTCCACATAGGTTTTGGTCTAGTGACCCTCCCTACCGACCCTGACTACGAGACGAGCACTATAACCTGTACAAGCAAGCCTGCACAGGACCTTATCAGTCATGTCCTGTCCTGTCCTTTATATATTAAGAATGAGTAGATGAACTGGCCAACAAAAAAGGGTAGGAGATGGACGCTGTAGGACCAGAACCTACTGTTTCCTACCCCTAGCAACGATTAGCCCATATCTTTCTACATAAGTTTTCTTGTGAGTTTCCTTCCGGACCTTCTCAGGCAGGTCCTGACCCCAGATCTGCCCGTTTACTTGTAACTGGATTAGCTGCCCCGGATGCACGTACAGCACCCACCCTATTGTCCAGATATGTATTTTTATTTGTAGCAGTAGAGCTCCTTGTAAATGACCTTACCTATTTCTGCCACCAAACAGTAATGTGAGCGTACGTAAAACCACGTTGGTAGCCTCAAATAGAGTCTCTATTTAATGTGTGTAACATTAACACGACACTTAAAGCGACACTAGTGTGTTAATGTTATAGATTTTCCTAGTCTAACTATGGTTTGACATATGTGAAGACAAGACAAAAACCTAACCGCAACCCTCTTTTGTTTCAGCTGCACATCTCGGTACGCGGGCGAGTTCTGTCAACACCTGAACCCTTGCCACAGTGAATCCAGTCCGCGCTGTCAAAACGGGGGCACTTGTAGGGTCAAACTTGGTGCGGGAGGGGGGCCCCCTTCCTTCGCCTGTGATTGCCCTTTGGGCTTCAGCGCTTCCTTGTGCGAGATCCGAGTGCCGACAGCGTGTGATTCAGCACCATGTTTAAACGGAGCCACTTGCCGACTGACGTCACTTGACACTTTTCAATGTGATTGTCCGCCGGGGTATACAGGTGAGTTTCGTATATTTTATTTATTAGGATGTCAAAACAATAAATACCCTAGCAATTAAGGAAACTGAAGATAATTATTAACAGAAAGTAAAAACACTAAGAAAAATTCAAAAATTCCTGAAAGGAAAGATCCGGTTGGAATAGAACCAACGTCTTCCAGCAAACCGTGGCAGATGCTATGCCAACTAATCCACGGAAAGAACTAGCGGATCTCACGGATTTTTCTATGTACTTGTTGCAGATCTTTTTTTTTGTTTTTAACAACTTTTTTGCCGTAGCGCCGTCTGCTACAAATCTATAAAAGCTTTTCTTCACTCAGCTAGGTACCTTTACAGCTACCAACAGTTGACTAGAGATATCGCTTTAATAATTGTAATTTTGAAGTGTATTGAATGTCACAATGTTTTCACCAACGATTTTACGAAGCTGTGTGATGGTATTGGTTGAACCTAAAGACTCCACCGTGTTTCAAATACCTATATGTTTATGATTTATTACCATCCGAACTTGCGAAACTCTCAAAATACTAATAACGCTGCACAGTGCCCTTAGTGTAATATATTAAAATATCCAATTAAAAACAAACACTCTTGCGGAATGTGCAAATGCAATTACAAAGATTATTAGCACTCTAACCATTGTGTTAACAAACGCACGCGCAGCTCAATCATAAATATCATATTAAATAACAGATAAGTTATTAAATAATGCCTTTTGAAGCCCATAACCCGATGACTAATCTTCGCAGGTGCGGCAGATTAATTGCTGCATTTGCGCATGTTAGAGTATAGGTGCGCTGTATCAGTGCAGGGATTAAGTTAAGGATTGATAGTGTGATCTCAAGGACATGAGCTTTAATATTAAACCAATATTAAAAGACATGAGAGACGATCGCAAGCAACTAAGATGCAAACATAAAGATGGATGTGAGGATTGACGTGTATAAATTAGAAATATAAGAGGAAGTTTTAAAGTAAACCAGAGACACACAGAGAGAGAGAGAGAAATGTGTCGAATTATTCTCAAATAAATGTGTAACTAATATCCATTTACAAAGGGCAACCCCCAGAGTTTCTTACTCGTTCTTCTCAAGGGAATCTGCCTTACGAATGAGTAGGTAGTTAGTGTTTAATCCCTATGAAGATTTCAAATATAATTAATTGTGCTTGTTATCGGAATTTATGTGCAAAATTGCATTTCGAATTTACTATGAGATTTTCGGTAAAGGAAATCTGTGCGTCGAAGAAGGTTCACAACCCTCGGATAACGTGTGATGTCCCCAACCAGCTTGAGTCAGCGTGAAGGACTATGACCTAAACCTGAGAGGAAACCTATAAGTGGGACATATAAATGGGTTGATGTTGTTTTCGGTAAAGGAAAATATTGTAATGAAAGGAGAAGGTTCCCAACCCGCGTTGTTTGGCTAGCGTAGCGAACTATGGCCTAACACTGAGAGGAAACCCGTGCACAGCAGTGGGACGTATAATTGGGTTGATGATAATGATGACATACGCAGTATAGACGTTTTAATTATAGACAAAGTGTATTATAATATGAATCTGTATGGCAACGTTTCAGCGTGTCCTTATAAATAATGTATCAACTTTGTGAATGATGATGTACATAAAAAAAGTTAAGGATACGATAACTGATGAACAAAAGGACAAAGGCCGAAAGGTGATGCTTCTTCATTTAATAGGACAACGGCTGAATGGTGAGAAAAAGGGTATCGTACTCGACTCAGTCAACTAGTAAAAAGTATAAATAAATAAATAAAATAAATAAACTTTTCTTTTTTTTCTTTTTGACGTTGGAAATTGACACAAAATCGAACGAAAATAAGGAATAGCAAGAACAGAAAGTCCATTAAATTGCTAAATACCGGAACAGAGAAATGGAAAGCCAATTAATTGCACAATCACGGAAACCTGTCCACATACAAAAGTTTATATATAAAGTAATTGAACGAAATTTAGTGCCTTAGCGAAGTTGATATTCCGAGAAAGACACATTATCGCCTTAGAAATACGTGTTAGTTTCGTATTAAACGACTTATGAACTCGAATGGAAAGGAAGTGATTCGAGCAAAGACAGGTTTCCAAAACTTATCACTAAATAGCAATGACTACTTGGATTTTGCACTTTCACTTGAAAAATACTGACTAAAATGGACGACAACATGTTGTGAGTTCTATCAATAGTGGTTGCTAGACCATAAAAGCTGCAAAAATACCACTGTGATAGTTCAGAGGTAGAACAGTCGATGGCTTTCTAGAATAGTGGCCTATCACGAATGAATGAATTAGATACATTCATCAAGAAGATGATTTAAAACAAGTGAGACGTATCGGCCGTGCAAAATTGACATATTGTAAGCCGTCCCAACATTGTTATGTGATTGTCTCATAGTATTTTCTGAACAAATCTCAGTATTAAGTCAAAAAAGGAAAAATTTTAGACTGGACCACTATTAATGCAAAGCAGCGAGTTGTTTCTCATTTTAGATATAGATGGTTTGTTGCGACAATGACTTTAATTTCTAAGTTATGAAAGATAACGGTGTGAAGGATGACGTCGTGATGCACGAGGAAGAAAGTTCACAAACCTTGGAAAAGGTGTGAAGTTCCCGACCCGCATTGGTCCTACGCGGCGGACTAGGGCTGAAAGTGATATAGTGAAAAGATTTAAGGTCATAGTTATAGCTTGATTGCAAGTCCGTAGACTTCACATGTTACGTAAACATTCTCAAATGTTGTTAATTTTTATTAAATTCGATAAACTTACTTGACCCAAAGTGGGCCCTGGCCTCCGACATCAGATTCTGCCACTCCTCCCGGTACTGAGCCTGCTCCTTCCAGCCATTAGTACCGAGGTCCTTGAGATCTTTCAGGACTTCATCGCTCCAACGGTGCCTGGGGCCTCTGAGCGGTCCGCGTCCTTTCGGTTGTCCCAAACAGGCCCTCTTCGCGGCATGGTCTTCTCCCATTGTCTCCACGTGTCCGAGCCAGCGGAGTCTCGCAGTTTTTGTTTCTCCGACAATATTGAGACTGGACATTAGAAGATCAATCTCAAGGTTCTTCCTTGCCCTCCAGCTCCCATCCTTCCTTTGAGTCGGTCCCAGAATTTTCCGTAAGATTTTTCTTTCCGCCACTAACAACTTATTTTCCACTTTCAAGCTCAGCCGCAGAAAAACGAAGATCCGTGTCTACAAAACTGTAATTAGACCGATCTTGATGTATGGTTGCGAAGCTTGGACACTGACGTTGACATTCGAAAAAAATACTTCGAAACTTGTGATATAATTAAATTCGGAGCAAATACACAACTCGTATGATCAGGATCAAATTGAAGTGAAGAACTTTCTAATTGAATTTAATACGTATCAACCAATACCTCCAATTTACAAGTTATTTTGTTAGAATTTGAAATGCCAAATAAATTCACTCTTCAACTACGAACAGGTTTACAATTTTGCTCCCCATTGGCTTCATTTAGAGTTTTGCAATAATCGTAAATTTATTTTATTGCATTTGTTTCAATTGCTAGTGCCATTATTAATAAAATTTTAATTGCCTCCGTCTTGTATTCAATTTTGATAGGCGCTCTCATTGAAATATCTTTAATTGTGATTGAGTTAAATTTTTCTTGGCTACATATTCATTTATAATGCTGATAAATTGGTATGATATAACCTGTACAAACTTTGATTTAAATAGTCGCTATAAGAGAGCGCTCTGTTAAATAGCACCTTTTATTATACAGATTTTAAGATTGTCACTAGTTTTTTTTTGTAAGGTATCAGGGGACGTAACGAACAAGTCGTAGGCGTGGCTGGTGGTCAGCGACACGCCCACTCATAACAGTTGCAGTCACTCAGAGATTTAAATCACAAAGACGTGAGCGACACTGCCACTGCATCCGTCACCCTCAGACATAAAGTTGACAAGCCCCATGTGCCTGTAGATCATCAGTTCCCTCATATTACTGCTTGGTGGCAGTACGTCTCTAGACGAACTGTTTTACAAGGACCTCTGCTGCTAATGTAAAAATGTAACAGTTACTCGTGACCGTAGCGTGAAAATACTCTAAAAGAATAAAAAATCTTATCTTGGTAAAAACCTTATCAGTATTGTATACTGTAGTATACGATATTAAAACCGCCTTCGAAACAATTTTAAACTATGTTAATTTTATAATTTCTGCGACGGTACACAATGTAAATTAAGGTGCAAACGCACGACAAAGATTTACAAATAAATAAGATCTCTTATAATTATTACTAATGTCAGTTAGACTCCAAGCCAGTTCTACGCAGGGGTGTTTCACAAGGATCGTTACTGAGCCCTATTTTATATAACACGTATATAAATAATTCTACAACCTTTTTGGTCAAATAAAATTTCCTTTATTTGGCCCGAGACTGCAATCGACGGAAGCTAGATATAAATCTAGGCAGATAATTGGCGTTGCATCATACACGCTCCGGCTGGGTGTCGGCTAACACTCTTTATATTATACGAGGGTACAAGTGATGAGCTATTAAAACTAAGGCAGGAGATTGATTGAAACATTTACAATAGACATATAAAGCGAAAAGGACCAAACTATTTATTATACCAAATTATGCAGCTATATAATAATTAACGGCTTGCTCAAGGATATAAACAGGTTGTATAGAACCGAGAGCAACACGACTGGTGAATATAAAAAAAAAACTTCTAGAAAAGTGAACAACACACATGGTCACAAAAACACATTTTA